CTGTCCACTGTCCACTAAATTTTGAACCTACAATAGGTCGTTTTCTTCTCACAGATGTTTTTGAGCTTAAGTGATAAAACAAAAAGGGCTTCTAAAAGATGTAACAGAGCACAAAGTTCCTCTCAGTTATTGTTTCCTTCTTGGTAATTACCATTTGAATTACTTAACTCGAATGATATTCTTACTGTTAGAGTAGAACCTAGGCCCGACGTAGTGCATAGTTTCATAGTAATTTTTTTTGAGTATTTCACTCAGTGCAACGGTATTATTAACTGGATGGCGTTTCAAAATAAACTTATCGTTCAAAATTATATCAAGGGTTCTAGTTCTTACTCCTTAGTACAACAGTCATTCCTATACAACTTATCTGTGCCTGGATTATTTAAAACCTTCAAAATGTTACCATTCAGGGAAGGCATTTCAAAAATGTTGTACATAATTCTCAACAAGGTCGGTATTTGGATAGAATTTCGACTTAAAACTCACCGAGCAAAGGATTCTATTTAGTATGTACGACAAAATAATCTAGTTTATCAAATTCTACACAACCGTCGTGAGGTCAGTGGCAGAGGTCATAATAATCGACCATGTTCATTTGCAGTGGCAATATGAAAATCTATCATAGTCATGAATGGTACGAATACCATTGGCTTAAATGACTGAAAAATTAATACGTCAGGAATTCTCGATTAAAAATTGAAAATTTTTCCTACAACTCTGCGAATAACCCCCGTAATGTTAGGTTACATCCTATACAGATTATAAAATCTGAATGTTGAAAGTTACTTGATACAGTGGTATTAGTTGATCAAATTTACTCGGTTAACTACCATACTGACAGTGATGTTTGTGTAGACTGAATATGCTAAATTAAAAACGTAATGCAGCTGCATATCTTATTCCTAGCCTATATCGCGAATTTGTCAGTCGTTACACTAGTTCGGTAAATAAAAGATTTAGTGATTTCATATGATGGCTCTCTAAGAAAGACAGCGATTTCAGATGCTGTTTCGTGTAAATGTCATTGGACTTTGTCGATCAGAGTTTACAGTTTTCTACTAAAAATTGTGTAAATATCGATGATATACATTTATGCAACTGTGCTCATCAAAATACGAATTACTAAATCAGCAACCTGTTGAAACTAGTTAATAATAGCTTATGAAGTTATAGTTGAAAAAGTTATATTCCGTTTTGTAATTGGCACTTTAGCTTTGAAAGTCATCCTTGGTATACTGCTGTCCGGTTCATATTACGTTGCTGCAGCACAGATCTCATCTTATTTATAACAATGAAGAATGGTTATGAGAATGTAAAAAGATATCAGTAAGAAAAATAAACTGTTTGTAAGTCATCCTATGACAGTAGAGAAGATTTGAAGCTTGGGACATGATAACTCTTCGGAGTTCTACTAGGTTTGAGCTTTGTTCTTGAACATTTCATCATCAGGCTAGGCGACTTCATCAACACTTACTTCATATAGAATTGAGGTGCTTCCAAGCGTCATGAATGTGTATAATCATCAAATGATGATCTCTAGCGTTTTTGACTGACCTGAGGGAGCTGTCCTTATTTTTTATCAAAGGTTGGCCTTTTATAATTGTTGTTGTCGTCTTACCTATGTTGTTGACTTAATATCTAATTGGTAATTTTTTTGATTAGTTTCCAGTTGCCTATTCCCACTCAATAATCCTTATGCTGATCAGTGTCCATGTGTCTGTTGATTACAACTAGTATGAAAAACCATGCTTCCATGAACTCGACGGCAGTTCTTGAGCTTGCTTGTAGTAGTAGTTGCACTTTTTCCTAATCGAAGTTGTAGATGTGTTCATATATATATATATATATATATATATATATATGAATATCAGTGAAAAGACATCACCCCTTTTGATTGCAATTTGGCAGTCATAAATTTCCTAACGCATTCGATGACTGGGTTGGTTGACATTTTGATACTGACAGTCCCCGAAGCTGGTTTTGTAGATGATATTCGTCTTGTCTTCTTTGGACAGTAGATCCTTTAGTTTGCGTAAGGTCTTCTGCAGGAATTCGGTTAATTTCCAAACCTCTCTGATACTGAATAGATGAGTTAAACGGCTGACATATTCTGAGACATCTTTGATGCATGATGAAATGATTCGTTTTTTAGGGTAACACTGATATCTCAAAGCATGTTCTTTTTACAGGCGATAAAGTTGACTAGATATGCACTGATTCCAAATACTTTGTTCCATGTATATGGAGCGCTGCAAGGGATCTCGGCATATGTGGATAGTGTTTGGTAAAAGTTGTCGTTATGAGACGTAGAGTTGTTACTGCAGTTATGGAAAACTTGGTTTGTATGCATCATTTATCCGTACACTTAACTTATTAAGGTTTCATTATGTGTTCCTTTAATAAGCGCATAAATGAATGTGATTTCTTTTCTTCCTTCTTCTTTTGTGAATTGAATGCCTTCAGAGATTTTGTTGATGAGATTGAACGTGTTTTTCAATTCACTTGTTTCGATAGCTACAAAAGTGTTGTCGACGTAACGAATTCAGATTTTTTTGATTAGTGGAATGCCTATTCGTACTAATCTCTGCACAACTGCTCTAGTGATTAATTTGAATACCAGTGAGAGCATAATGGTTCCCACGGTTATACTGTACCATAGCACTCAAGTTTTATTCTTACATAATGGTACCCACTACCTCTTTGTCAAGATCCAAGTTGATTGACATAAAACGTGCATTTAACTAAAAGAACACCATTTTTCCACCTTCTGTCTTGGAGTCTTTGGTCCTATCTTGGGATTGAGTAGCTGAATTGACTGTATCCAAGTGAACGAGGATAGCAACTGAGTACATCTTACAGAAATAGAGGTAGTGCATTATTTTCATCTTAGACTTCGTAATCAGAAACGGTATATGGTTTTTAGATCATCAGCAGCGCTTCGATTGTGAGTCGATTAATAGAGTATATCTTCTGTATCCTCAAGCAAATGATCCTTTACTTCCAGACAGCACCAGTCCTGAATTATTATTATTATTATCATCAGTCCCTTGGGTTCCTAATGAAACACAAGGCTTCAGTAGCACGTCTCAAGTGAACTCTGCTCTCTGAAATCTTTTCAACCTAGCTCCAAGAAAACCCATAAGCTCTCAGTTCCTCCTCACACCATCTCCTCCATGTCACCCTCACCTCCAACGCCCAACTCGTCACTTCTCATCGGGGTTCCACTCGAGGGCCTGGCATGACGTATGATGTCCCCAGTCAGCCTTCTCAGTGTATGCCCAATCCAATCCAATCCATCTCCACTGCCTTCTAGTGCATATTGATTGGGCGATAGGTTCTTGTTTGGTTCGTTCCCAGTCAGAGTTCCTTGTCGTTTATTCTTATTATTCTGGCAATCCATTTGATCTTCAGAAAGGAGCCAGTGTAGGCAGTTGTTGATGAATATCTGTAGTTTGTTGTAAATGCCTTCCGTAACGCGCCAAGTCTCTCAACCATACAGGAGCACTGACTTGACTGAATTGGTGTTAAAAATCTGAATCTTGTTCCACATGCTGAGTGCAGAGGATTTCCACACTGGTCTCAGGCAAATGAATGCCTATCTTGCTTTCCTGATTTTGACTTTGACATCCTCGTCTGTGCCGCCTGTAGTTGGAACAGTGCTGCCTAGATGGGTGAAGGTGGCCACTTCCTTTGAGTTTCTCCTGTTGATGGTGGTTGGAACTTCTTGTTGTTGTTGTTGGTTGGGTGTCTTCATCACCTCTGTCTTCTCCACATTCACCTGAAGGAAGCCTCGTCTTCCTTTGCTATCTCTTCTGACAACTTGTTAGTATTCGATTGTAGATCGTCGAGTTTGTGTGGCATTATACATAGGTCATTGTCGGCGAAGTCCACATCTTCTGGGTTCTTCTCCACGGTCCAGCCAACGTATCCCCCTCTTCTTGCTCATCACTGTTTGTTGCATGATCCAGTCGACCACACTCAGGGATATCATGGATGGTAGTAGGCAGCCTTGTTTCATTCCTGTCTTCACTTCAAAGGCGTCACCGAGCTTCTCATTGTGAATTACTTGGCTGGTATGTGGCGTCTTCATATGGTTGTTGGATGAGATTGATAGAGGTTTGTGGTATTCTGTAGTGTTGAAGCAGCTGTCTGGCAAATTACTTGTCGGTCGACGCTGTCAAAAGCCTTCTCAAAGTCGATAAAGTTGAGTTGCCTGCATTCTATACTCTGTTCTATGATGATGCAAAGCGTTGCAATTTGGTCCAGTCTTGCATACTGCCACTGTTATTTTCCACTTACATGTTTTCGCTTGTTTTCGAGGTGTTTAACGAAGAGTATCGGAATGTGCTAAAAAAGTCATGATGTGGATGTGCAAAGAACTGTAAGTGATACTGGAGCGCTCGTATGCATCTTGACCACGGATAAGTGTGTGAAGGAGTCGTCTTTGACATTACTAGTTGGAAATTTCTTGCCTAATACGGGTTGATTTTTCTTATCAGTTTTATTTAGTTTCTTTATGAAATATCGAACTAGTTCACCTTTCAGGCTATTTACGGCAACCACGGGCAACAACTGGTGGTTAACTCCTTTCCATTTCGCTTTCTTCAGCTATCTTTACTACCTTGAAACTCATATTTAACTACACTGGAAATTTAATTGGAACGGTGTCCTTAAATCTTTTTAGCAAAAGCATTCACACGGATCATGTCATGCTTAGACTGACTAGATTATCAGTTTGTGAAACAAGGGATGAGGCCGAGTTGAAAATGACTGGTTATGGGGAGGTGTTTAATTTCGCCTAAGCCACTATCAACAAGAAAGTGATATCATGAAAGCAAACTGCAAGGTGAAAGGATGTGCAGTTTTGAATATGATGCGGTTTGTGTGTGTTTTAGGGATTCATATAGATAATGTATTATTTTTTTAAAAGCTACTAGAGTGATTTCTTGTGAAATAGAATTCATCTTACGTAGCTACAATTTGACGATAAAAAGAACTAATGGCTTCTATGAAATTTACTTCAAAAAATATATGACAGTTTGTTCATGTGCATGTGCATACACTGTGGTTGATACTGACGTATAAGAGCAGCAACAATTGTTAGAAGCTATAGTCAGAATTCATTCTTCTAATAAGCAGTTTTGAACAGCAGCACTTCTAAGTCATTTGATTGGAAATAGATAAGATTATGGTCCAAATGGGTAATTGAACTGCGAAGAAATCAAACAAAAATAAAGCAGTTTGTTAGACATCTAGTACCTGATTTAGTTTATGAATTTAAAATTTCTGCGCAACAAATGTGCCATAAAATTATTCTTTTCAGCAAAATATTAACCATTATAAGAAAGCAAACATTAAAATTTAGACAATCTCAGTAAGATTTAAAAATGAGAAATGTGACGATATAGACAAACTTTAGGCGAAACTCTAACCAACTGGCCTTGAATAAGATCTTATAATCTGAAAAAATGGATATGGCAAAGATTACTCAAAGGACTATATGTTTTAGGTTTATAGAAGGACAAATGGGAGAGCTACCAAGTCCAATGATGAAAAATAAATAGATTATGCAACGTGTACTGAATTTCATGACTTTTCATTAGCTTCAAACAACTTGAAAGCATAGGAGTTTTAAAAACAGTACAACAGGATTGCACGTTAACACTTTAAATGGCACGATGATCATCAGCCAGTTACACTCAGTGAGAGAACAGAGGAGATTTAGGAAGCGCAAGTATAAAGAATACACAAAAATCATCATGAAGATTCTCATATGATTAGACGTTTGATTACATAAAGAATAGCTGAGACAGGCCGAGAGGTCACTGAATCGAAAGAAGAATGAAGTAGAAGAGAACCAACGAAAGTTCAAGTGAGTGCGGTTTTCACCCTTTTTTACAAAAATAAGAAAAGATAACTAATCTTTCCTTCAACATGTCCAGGTCTGAGTGAGAGAATCTAATGACGACTTCTTTGTCGAAATTAAGTAGTCCTGTTACAACTCTGATGTTCGTAGTTCTAAAAGCCTTAAGAATTCCTCTTTAGTGATCTGGTGATTCTTTGGCTTGTTCTCGCTCATACAGCAACTCTTTTGCAACGTGCTGAGTCAGACTGAGTTTTCTTAAAGATGGTTCAAACCAATAATCTTATCTGTTCATAATAAAATCATCATTTTGCGCAATGAAAACTACAGTTACTTTCTTATGCACTGTAACTGTTGTTTTGTAGAGTTTCTCAGTAAGCTTGTGAGATGTATGCAACACATGGTTGACATAATTATAAATAATGATTTCGACATCTATACACCTCTAGTTACATGTCTTTGATTATTAAATTAAATCTCATCAAAGGTAATTATAACATCAACTCCATTTGAAGGGAGAATAAGTCTCTTTTATTATCGAAGGTGGCCGACGCTACATCTTATGTAAATTGACTTCTGTTTCAATCTTTGAAAAAAAACTACAGTAAAGTTTTCCATTGACATCTCAAATAATTTCACTAATATTATTTTGCTCTGTAAAGTTTGTCCTTGTAAACCACTTTCAGAAACTCAGGTGGTTAAGTAAATTTGGCCGTTTCAACTGAACAGGTTCAATAACACGACTTATGAACTAGGTCTTCTAAGAGTTGAATGTTCACTTAATGCTTGGTAATCTTATTAGTTTATTATACCGTATGAATTTCGAATCCATTTAGGAAACCAGTTTATAAGTCTTAGATTAAAAGGCGTGATAACTTTTAATTGCATGAAAGAATGTCCAAATAAATACTTGGTAAATCACCAAATGAGTGTATAATAGCTCAATTTCCATTATTTGAAACAAACTACGTAGGTTGAAGTGCATTTTTTTTAAAATATGCTCTTAGTTAACTTTTTAGCCGCTTTCAAATTGATCTGGAAGAATAAAATTTTTAGAACGTATTTGACTGGCAATTTTCTGACTAAAAACTCATACCGTATAGTGTTTGGAGCACTTGGAACAATGTTAAGTTTACAGTGTTAAAAACAAGCACATAATTCAGTTATTAAACGAGCTCAATATGCAGCTTAACTTATCATCTTACAGAAAAAATCTGCATTCCAACATAAACCTGAGCACAGTAAAGATGATTACATCATATCATGTTGTGTGTACTAACTCGCATGTGTGTGTGGACATATATTCATTGGGAGCAGTAGTCGAACTACTAAGTCATCCATCGACCTGCTTAGCAAAATGATAACATTCGAATGGTGTGATGAATACGAGTGCCACTCAAGTTTGATAGTACATGGATATACGCTGTGTAGGACCCAGTCGAAATACTGACCTCAAAACAACCTTCAGTTCGCGATACTAAAGTTGTAAGGATAGGGTATTTAGATCCCATGATGCCTTAGTCATACTAATGTTCATTGTCTCTCTGTATGCTTGAAAACTATTAATCCTTAACTTGAACCCTGCTATTTAATCTTTGCCTTATTTTTATTGCAAGGATGGCATGAAAGTACGTTTTTCCCAATATTTTTAAAACTCTCGCCGTAATTTATTCGTCTGGCCTGCATCCTATTTTTACTCTTCATCTTTAAAACGCCTTAATAAGTAAATTTATGATCATATTGTTAGAAATGCATTGCTATATCATATTACAGGTAAACTCCATTGACTTGTGATACTACGTCAAAAAATACATTGATATTGTTTGTCTTCTGGAAAAGCAATTATTTTAATATTAGTTAATCTCTAATAATAGGTTGCCTATAGTACATCAGTTTATCGAAGTAATCTTGTTTAGTACAATAACATGAAACATGTCCCTGTGAACAACGTACTTGAAAACACGATTCACTACGTTTATCATTACCATCAGTAATATTTTAAGAAATGTTGTTGTAAGTACCTAGCGCTTACCTTTCAAAGTCATGTCCAATCACGCATTGCCAATTTCTTCCATAAATATGATCAAACTTTTGTTTTAAATAATCAGCCATATCTTTATACTTTGAATATGTTGAGAATGCTTCAGAAAACCAGGTAATAGCGTTATTTTCCATATCTTTGGGCATATATGCCATTAACACCTTCAACTGACCACCGGACATAGTTTTTTAAATGATTGAATGCACTAACCAAGGTATTTATATTTCTGTAAATAGTAAACATTTCCAACTTCTCAATATAAGTGAGGGAAAATCAATTAGAAACTTATAGTGGTTTTACCTTACCAGGATAAAATGTACTTTATCTTGAGTTTCATCAACACAATGACCATGTGAAACGAAATGTAATTTATTTTTTCTTTTCTTTTGAAGTACTTTTAAATAAATCCATAGGGAGCAAGAATGACCTGCGAAATCTCGCTAAATAGTGAGTTGCGCAGAGAAAAATCTCAGTACAAAATATCTAGTCCCTAACATTCACTGGCAGCCTGTAACTTGACATAATTTTCCGCGTAATTGTCTACTTGTATCATAATAGGTGACGTGAAAAGCCAAACAAAATTATCTACTGGGTGGAACTGAATTACATAAGAGTTTACACGGAAAGCATTGTGGGTTTATTTAACGTGGAACAGAAGGCTGTTAGAAGCAGCTAAGTTGGAAGCTTCTAAAAAATCGTTTATATACTTACGCACATAGACTGTTCCAAATAAACTTAGTAAAATCTTTTTATAATATCATTTTTTAGCTTCAAATAGAAAACCATGACGTTTTCAAAAACTGATCTTAGTGTTCATTAGGAAATAAGGAAGTTGACCAAAATAAGCAAGTTTAAGCCTCCTAAATATATGTGAAAAAATGACCTATTTCAAGATGATCTGTTCTAGGCATCAGTATTCCTTCATCACGACAGCTGATAATCGGGGTTTAAACGCAGTGGGAGTAATAAGGCATGGGAAGAAGAGTTACCACAGAAACTACTAGGTAGGGACTTGTCACAAGGGACACAATAATTATTCTGATTGCCTTCCCCCATCGGAATTCATCTAACTACTGTGAAGGAATGGAATGCAAGACCCCGGTAAAAAGTGATTTTCAGAATTAAAATTAGATGTTGCTGCTTTTTAAAAGAAACTTCAAATGGTGACCTCAGCCATGACTGTTGTTAGAGGTGTGAAATCTAATTTCTTACTGAAAGGCTTGATGAAGTCTTTGACAGAGACAATGAAAATTTTGAAAAACGTAGAAAATCCCGTTGAGTTAGCTGCAAATATATTGCTGGGTCAAAATTTAATCAGCAACCACACAAACGTTTCATAAAATGGACTACAAGCCACATCAATTGTGTGAAGACTAATACCAATATCCAGTTTCCCAGATCTCGATTTGGGAAGTAGGGTTCAATCTGTTTGTTTTTCCTAGTGAAAGCATACTTGTAAGGACCAGTGGCAAATTACCGAACAAAAGTTGAATCATATAGAGTCTGAGGACGGTTTCTGTTAACAAAAAGATAAATTTGCCTCAAAATGACATGGATTTAGGATTTGTCCACTGTTAGAATGTATTTATGACCCCTGATACATCTAAGCAATGTCTAGAATGGAATCAGGATAGCTATGTGGTGTTGAAAAATATATTAATTAAGCCTTGACTGGACAGATCAGCTTCCAATCATTATACAGGTGGTAAAAAGAAACTCAGAATACTCAGAAATAGCTTTTCAATGGCTTTACTTTAACAACCAGGACTTTCGAATCTCTAACTTCCCTGATAGCATTCCCATGACTTGTTACGTTGTGTGCATTTGAGAATGATATATTTCTTGCTGCATATGATTCAAGAGTCTCAGATAGTCAAGAAGATTAAGCAGACGTTTGAGCCGCACCCTTAAGATACGATAAAGGTTGCATATACCACATCAAATTTATGATGTTTTCTCAAGATGGCTTTTGTGAGTGAATTTGTTTCCTAATTTTCATGATTAAAATGTTTCAGTAAATTTCCAGTAAATTTATTTGTTACTGAGTTATTGGTTTTTCTTTCTTCAAAGGAACTTGTCAAATTGTTTTGCTAATATTTAGTAAGTTATTCTTGAGAACATTACACTTCATGATCACAACAACCAACAAATTTTTACGTCACTTTATCACAACTAATTAGTTGTGAGTGCTTTTTGCTGGACATCAATATAAACACACTGAACTGCAAAACACTACTGATCAAAGCTTGTACACTAGTTTCTACGTTGTAATCATTCAGTTATATCCACTGGTAACCAAAAAAAATGAGATCTCTAAACAAAATAAGTGAACAAGTAAAGCTATTTTTCTACTGTACATTCATCATCATGTATTTGTGCCACAAACCGCATGCCAAAAATATAACACTTGCAACCATTTTTCTAATTTATGAAAGTATCGATTTCCAAAACTATGTGGCAAGCATAAAAGTCATTAGTATGGTATATAAACGAATGAGAAGTTAATCAATCTTATACCTTGATCCAGCTTCGTGTTTCCATAACGGCGTTCTACAAAGTGTGATAGATTAGGGGTACATGTGCAGTCCAGCAAGTCATAAACTTATGCTGCAAAATTAAGTATAGCAGTATACATTTCTTGGTAATATTCTTCGTGACTCACCAACTCTGTGAACCATCACATAGAAGCACTAACTTGACTGGCATTAGTCTTCAAAATCTGGATATTCTTCTCAATGCTGAGTGCAGTAGGTTGATGAAAGCCTGTCTTACTGTCTCTCCAATCCTAGCTGCTTTCACATCCTCATTTGTGTCTGTGCCACCGACTGTAGTTGAAACAATGCTGCCTTGTCTAGGTGGCTGAAAGAGACTACTTCCTTTAGTCTTCTCCTAATGATGGTGATTGTTCCCTGTCATTGTTGCTGTTGCTGTTGTTGTCGTCGTTGTTGTTGTTGTTGTTGGTCAGGTGTCTTCATCACCTCTGTCTTCTCTACGTTCAACTGAAGGAAGTCTTGTCTTCGATGCCCTGCCAAGCCCTGCCCTGCCCTGCACTGCACTGCACTGCACTGTCTCTTCTGTCAACTTGTTGCCTTATGCCTCTGCATCTTCACGTCTGTGCGACAACACGTAACACATAAGTCATCATCGGTGTCGAAATCCACATCTTCTTCTGTCGTCTTTTCATCGGTCAAACAGCGTGTGCCCATCTTCTCACAGCTCCTCACGGTTTCTCGCGTGATCCAGTCCAGTCGACCACAATCAGGATGATGATCAGTGATAGTAGGCGGAAGCCTTGTATTACTCCTGTCTTCACATCGAAGGTGTCACTGGGCTTTCCACTGTGAATTACTCGGCGTGTGGCGTCTTCATATGGGTGTTGAATGAGGTTGATGATGGTTTTGTGGCACTAGAGCCGTAGTGTTGAAGCAGCTGCCCACCGAGTTACTTCTCGATCGACGCTGTCGAAGGCTTTTTCGGAGTGTATGAAGTAGAGATGAGGTGAATATTTGACTGGGATTCTGTGTTGTGTTCTATGATGATGCGTTGCGTTGCATTGCGTTGCGTTGTGATTTGATCCATGCATGGTTTGTTCTTCCTGACTCTAGCCAGCTAGCCAGACAGCCAGCCAGACAGCCATCCTGTTTGTGTTGTAATTTTGAATGTAGAGTATTTTTGAGTGTCTCCAGGATGATGCGGCTTAGTATTTTTCGTGTGGTGGACAGGAGAGGAGCATGAGTCGGGGCCAGTCCTTGCCATGACTTAGGTCGCTCTTATTTGGGAGCTTGATAGGGTAGTCCGTCTTTCAATCACCCGCCAGATACTTTTCCTTTGTTCCTTCCAAACCCTCTGCAGTAGTGGTGTGAACATGTCTGCTGTTGTCTCTGTGTCTGTTTCCAGTGCTTATGGAGGATTATCATTTGGTTTTGCTACAGTCTCGGCTTTCAGGAGCTTTATGGGTCCCCGGACGTCTGCTTCTGTCGGACGGCTCTTGTTCACTTGTAGTTCTGATGTTGTTGGTGGTGTTTCTAGGCAATAGGCAGGTGGTGGTCGATTCAAGAATATTCTGAAGTGGTCAGCCCGTCGTTTCCTTTGTTTCTCCTCTTTGCTTACTAATTTCCTTCACTATATCTCATTGGTTTCTTTTTTGTTGATCTCTTCCCTTCCGGATAGTAACTTGGTTGCTTGATATAATCTGATCGGGTCTCTGTCTCTCCTACCTGCAGCCTGTTCTGCTTCACTTGCCAGTGTATCGTAAAATTGTCTTTTATCTTTCCGTGCATTCTCCCTCGCTTCTTCGTCAAGTGTTTTATAGGTTGTATTCAGTTCCTCTTTCAGTGTGCATCCTTGCACTGGTAAATATTCTGCCTAACCATATTCCTCTAATCTTTTGGCTTCCATGGCTCCGTCAATACCAATTCCTTCCTAACACGGCCATGCGTGTTTCTTCCCACATCTCTTTCAGAGTTCCAGTGTCCTTCCACGCAGGTTGCTTAATATCTCCAATTTTGCCCTGATGACTAACATGAAGATGTCCCTTGTAGTTTCGTCCTTCAGTTCAGTTCCTGTACTAGGTGTGGAACTTGAACTGTGGTCTATCACCAGCTTTTTCAATTGTAGGCAATCAACTTGATTTCGAAGGTTCCTCTCACTAGATAATTGTCCGAACCTACTTCTGCTCCTCTTCTTCATCTTGTGTCCAGTTGGCTGCATATCCATCTCCACTTTATTCACACTGAGATGAAGGCGATCTGATTCTTAGTATGTCCATCCGGTGAAGTCCATGTCACTTTGCCAATATCCTTGTCAATATCCTTGTACACACTGCCTCCAATCATCAAATCGTTGAATGAGTAGAATTCTGCAAACAGTTCTCCATCCTCCCTCATCATTTCACCGAGTGCTTCTCGACCAATGATCAGTTCTCTTCCTATGTTGTCCGCTCGCACTCAGGCATTCATGTCATCCATCAGAATAAATTTTGATGTCATCAACTGCAGTAGGGTCCTGTCTAGTACTGATTGCAGTTGTCTGTATGATTCCTCTTTCTTCTCTTCATCTGCATTATTTGTTGGTGCGTAGCATTGGCATTGTATGCTTGTGACTTTCCCTCCTTTTGAGTTGAATCTTGCTGTCATTATCCTGATGCTGGAGGAGGATAATGGTACCCACTGCATGAGAACCTTGAGAACATCATGATTGCCACTCCAAAACTCACTGTGCTCGTGGTTGTCCTTTGGGTGACAGTATCAGAGTAGATTATTGACTCCTCTCCAGTTGACAGTTTAGAGAATCCACTTCTATTCCACCTGCTTTCACAGATTCCTTGGACTTACATGCCATAAATTCTCATCTCTTTTTTGATCTGGGCTGCTCTGCCAGATTCAAACATTGTGCAGACATTACATGTTCTACATTTTACTTCTACTTTCATCGAGAGAGAAGACACATCGGCTAGTTGGCTTTCAGAAGGCTTTAACCAACCAGCGTCATTTCATCTCCCCGATTACAGCTATGTTGGTTTTACTTAACAGCCAAAAACGTTAGACCCTGCTTTATCTTTCTTACTATTTACAATTTTGTTTATATCTCACTAGATATTTTAAGAACTTAATATCAGTTTCACTTTTTCGATGTCTCTATTGATTACGCTTTGTTTTAAAATTATTTCTATATTTTATACAAATTTACATTCTATCGCGCTAAATACGTTTGTCGCTATTATTCTTCATTTTAAATCACACTTGTGACTTTTGATCTTTGTTACTAGGTTAAATTGTATCGTGCTCGTAATTAAGCCATACAATGGGAAAAAAATGTACAAAACAGTGAATGTACAGCTGTAGAGAATGAATGAACGGAAAAATATTTCTTCGCTAAAAATTATTTTTCCTAATGTCTTGGTGTTTATTTACGGTAATTTGGAGATAATTTACGAATAACTGTGTGCCCTAAACACAAAAGATGTTTTTCATTCCTATGAAGGTTTATAACTGCAAATGACCTTCACTTACATGTCATATCTATTTATTTTCTTATAAGTGGAACTGCCTACTGTTGCCAATTTTTTCGACGATGGAAGGCAGCAAGCTTACTGTTCGGTTATAGTTAGCTATATTTCTGTCTGAAAAATGTATCTCCATTGCTTTATAAAGGTAACCATAGAGATTTTGAGATGTCTCTTTTTGAACGTTTCTGTAAATGATGACTGTAACTGACAACTATGTAGTACATAATGGCATAGAACTGCATAATAAGAATTCATCGCCTATCCAAAGCAAATCATCCCAATATTTTACTTAATAGTGGCTACAATACTACTTTAGATTGTGCAATCAGTTGCAAAGCTAGAGTAGAATGATAAACTATAAGAAACTATGCAAAACACAAAAGTGGCAATTGCCATCTTCAGTCTGAATAATCTGCTCATAATTCAGTTTGAAAAACACAGTGTGCTTGTTTTATTGATAAAAATTAAACACACATGACTCCTCAGCCAATCAAAGATTAGGTTTTGGATGCAAAACACAAAGAAATGTCTTTAACAAGAAATAACTCACATGAAATAAATACTAATCTATATGTGAAGTATTCTGGTAACAGTTAATCTTCTGCTCATATACTGACGACAAAACAACGACGTCATTGTTATAGAATAATAATTTATAGTCAGTTTGTTTTTCAAACGTTATTTGTCTACACTTCTGAAGAAAATAAAAATTGTGACAACTGGTGTCTGCGTAAAGTCAACGTCTAAGCACAACAGTTTTTCATTCAGCCGTTTCTCATCCGTCTTGGCTGGTCGGAAGAAAATCACAACAGTGTAAAATGAACAAGTCGGTGATAAAGAATGCTGATATGTCAAGTCCGATGCAGAGACACGCTTTGGCAATTGTAACTGATTCAGTTCGGAAATTCGAGCTAGAGAAGGATATAGCTGATCACTTAAAAAAAGAATTTGATACGAAGTATGGACCAACTTGGCACTGTATAGTCGGGAAAAACTTTGGAAGGTAAGATCATTTACTTGTTTATGATACACACATTTGACTATTTTCTCAATATGTGTACTTTCATTGTAGTTTTTGCAAACTAGATTTCAGATAAACTTTTAAAATCTAATATAATTTGACAGATCAAGATTCTTAAGTGCATCTTTCAAAATATGCAAATTACGTTTTAAACTTTCAGTCATTAAAAATTCTCAGCTTAGCGTTTTTATTTTACGTCCACCGACCTGATGAAACTGAGTTTCTCCAATTTTCCTGCATGGAAGCTTCAAAATTTTCTTATTTTCCTTGTGATTTTGTACTTGTTCACGGCATCGGTGAAATTTACCTTCTGAGTCACAAGTCATCTTATGATAATTTCAGGGGAAGCAGTAATATGCCGTTCATTTCAGTTTTGAGCCACCGTCACTAAATGAAAGGTACAAAGTGATCTTCAATAAGCAGTCGATTCTTCCCTGGCTTTAAACAGAATGTGTCAAATAAATTACACTGGTTATTCACTTAGTGAAAGTACTAGCTATTAGTTTACGCTGTAATATGTTCTTATGGGTTGAACGCCATTGGTTTGAAAGTAAAGCCTCTACACTATGACAGATCTTAGGGCCACATCAACCTGATAAGACTGTAGATGATAAATTGTCTCGGATGTTAAACAGAGAACAGTAGAATTTAACTGTGTAAGACACCTACCTCATTAGCAAGCTAGAATGGAGGTTATTGTAAATACAGGTCGAAACCCTATTTAATTGTTTTCGTTGTTATGCATCAGAAGAAAGAAACATTTGCTTAAACGCAACTCAAAGGAAGATTATTCTTTGTACGGTTTGTTTCAGAAGATTTCTAATAGTGTTATGTAAATGGACTCATAGGTATACAGATTCTCAATTCAAATTGGACTAAAATTAAAAGTCGTAATAGGCAGGGATAATGAGAAAAATGAAAATGTAAACCAAAGTGAAAATTGTCAAATCACACTGTTAGAGAGCATAGAAAAATTAGTTGATTTTAATGCAATAGCTTCAGCAGTTTCAAGAAGGCGAATCCTTCCTGCAGGTGACACTTCATCTAGTATTTGTTGGATGACTAAGAAAACAGACTTAATGTCGACATTGTGACCTAAATCAGACTAATGAGATTGAATGAAATTCGTAATCTTTACCATCTCTGCTTTTGCAAGCCAAACTGATAGATGGCCTTTCTCATTTTGTGATAGTTAATTCTGAATAGCTGACTCCACAGATGCAGCTAAATCTGAAGATTAATATGGACTGGGATATATGGAAGATACTATTTTTTAGAAGTGGTAGTAAGGAACATTTATTGTAGAATATCACTCTTAGAGTGGCTTCAGGAAATGTCTTTGTTAATGAAAGCTGAAGTCTGCTTGAAACGATTTCCACCAGGTTATCCTCCTTGAAAGGAAGCCTGATGAGTATATACTTCTAACCGCAAGTGCAGATGACTGGGTTTTCCACTGTGCCTATCATATACTTATGAAGGAAATTTTCAGAGTATGCACTTTGTCTGAATTTATTTGTTAAATCTTGTAACTATTTATTCATCATAGTGTCGGGAGAAAGTCTTTTGTCTGATCAAACAGGCGCCAAACCAATTTCCTTTCCTGACACAATGGGACAAAACTATAAAACTGCTTATACTTTCCCCGCAAAAATAGTTTACATTAAACACTTCTGAATATCGTCCATCCATATGATCCAGTTTGAAAGTCATCTAAACGATTGACCTTGATAGAATTTCTCAGTTCATGGGAGAATGTTATACGTATTTAAATTATTCAGCAGTTAGTTTACCTTCAGCTTCTTATAGCAAATAAAAACGTATCGTCTATATATCTGCATCAAGTACCCATTGAACATATGTATAACCAAGCCATTTGCTTCGTCCATGCTTTTTAACGTTTTTCGAACCACAAACAACCTAAATTTATTGATTTTGAATCCCACTATGAATAAGAAAACCCTATACGTCAGAAAAATGTTAACACCAAGAATAACGTAAGCGCATTCCATGATAATTCATATATAACTACGCAACACAGTTATTTTAATTATCAGTGCTTAAATGATGAACATAATAGGGGTAAAATATAACGTACTTCCTTTGAATTCTCTTAAATTTAGTGTGTCTTCTCCTGTCCTTTCTCAAGAGAGTGATATTTCAGTCTGTTATACAATTTTTTTTAAATTCCAGTTCCGTAACACATGAACCAAATAGCTTTATCTACTTCTTCGTGGAAAAGTATGCTATCTTGCTTTACAAATCCGGATGAGTGTATTATTATTGCTCTCTTTGCAAGTAAGCAAACAAAAAATGCAAAATAAGCCTTCTGCGGATTTCAATGGGTGTGTAGATGGAGTGCATATTATTATTTATAGTACATTTTTAATTATAGCCAATTAAACTCCGTGTCAAAGTGTATCATTTTAATTATAATGACAATAATCCGTTGTTGAAATGAAAATCTTAATAATTGTAATACTATAAGAATGAATTGTATCCGAAATTGCTTACGTTTGTTCCACTGATACACATCAGCTTCTTTACAAAACCCTGAGGTGTATCGTATTGAGCGACAAAAGGAAAGCGCTTTGATAGATTTGGCATGCATTTGTTGACATAGATGCAAGATGATAAGAACAAACAAAAGTTTATGGAATAAGTTTTTCATAAAGCACTTGAAGCTAAGAGGAGACTCTGAAAAATGACACCATGAAACTGGTAAAAATTTGCAGCCATCTATCTCTCAGGAGCGTAAAGAGATTTCAGACTTAACTTCTTCTTCAGTAGTAAAAATAGAAAACCCGAAAAAAGAAAAGTAGTTTTGAAGTGAACTTATTATTATCGATACTTGTCCGTTAGGTTCCTACTGGAACAAAAGGCTTCCGTAGTACGTCACCATTCCACTCTGTTCTCTGCAGTCTTTTGAACCTGGGCACACCAATGACCACAAACTTTCATTTCTTACGCACATGATCTCCTCCATGTCACCCTCGCCTCGGACGCTCAACTTGTCATTTACCCTGTGGATTCCACTCGATGGCCCGGCCTGACACGTGATGTCCCCAGTCGGTCCTCTCAGTGTATGTCCAATCCATCTCCACTTACTTCTGCATATTTGTTACATGACCGCTTCCTGGTTTGTTCGTTGGCTGAACAGAGTGAGTTCGTTGTTGCTAATTCTTTCTGGTAATCCATGTGATATTCAGTATCCAGTGAGCGAACGCAGGTGGCAGCTGTTGATGTGTGCCTGTAGTTTGTTTGAAGTGTCTCTCGTGACGCACCAACTCTGTGAACCATCACATAGAAGCACTGACTTGACTGGCATTAGTCTTCAAAATCTGGATATTCTTCCCTAGTGCTGAGTGCAGTACATTAATGAAAGCCTGACATACTGTCTCTCCAATCCTACCTGCTTTCACATCCTCATTTGTGTCTGTGCCACTGACTGTAGTTGAAACGATGCTGCTCTGTCTAGGTGGCTGAAAGAGACTACTTCCTTTAGTTTTCTCCTGATGATGGTGATTGTTCCCTGTCATTGTTGCTGTTGCTGTTGTTGTCGTTGTTGTTGTTGTTGTTGTTGGTCAGGTGTCTTCATCACCTCTGTCTTCTCCACATTCAACTGAAGGGAGTCCTGTCTTCGCTGCCCTGCCATGCCATGCCCTGCCCTGCCCTGCCCTGCACTGCACTGCCTCTTCTGTCAACTTGTTGCCTTATGCCTCTGCATCTTCACGTCTATGCGACAACACGTAACACATAAGTCATCATCGGTGTCGAAATCCACATCTTCTTCTGTCGTCTTTTCATCGGTCAAACAGCGTGTGCCCATCTTCTCACAGCTCCTCACTGTTTCTTGCGTGATCCAGTCCAGTCGACCACAATCAGGATGATGATCAGTGATAGTAGGCGGAAGCCTTGTATTACTCCTGTCTTCACATCGAAGGTGTCACTGGGCTTTCCACTGTGAATCACTCGGCGTGTGGCGTCTTCATATGGGTGTTGAATGAGGTTGATGATGGTTTTGTGGCACTAGAGCCGTAGTGTTGAAGCAGCTGTCCACCGAGTTACTTCTCGATCGACGCTGTCGAAGGCCTTTTCGGAGTGTATGAAGTAGAGATGAGGTGAATATTTGACTGGGATTCTGTGTTGTGTTCTATGATGATGCGTTGCGTTGCATTGCGTTGCGTTGTGATTTGATCCATTCATGATTTGTTCTTCCTGACTCCAGCCAGCTAGACAGCTAGTCAGCTGGCCAGCCATCCTGTTTGTGTTGTAATTTTGAATGTAGAGTATTTTTGAGTGTCTCCAGGATGATGCGGCTTAGTATTTTTCGTGTGGTGGACAGGAGAGGAGCATGAGTCAGGGCCAGTCCTTGCCATGACTTAGGTCGCTCTTATTTGGGAGCTTGATAAGCTAGTCCGTCTTTCAATCACCCGCCAGATACTTTTCCTTTCTTCCTTGCAAACCTTCTGCAGTAGTGGTGTGAGCATGTCTGCTGTTGTCTCTGTGTCTGTTTCCCGTGCTTATGGAGGATTTGAGGTGGACAGGGTTAGCATTTTAAATTAACCGAAGCGTCTGAAATTTTTGAGTGTCTTCAGACGTAGCTTTTGGATGGTGATGTAAGTTAGTTTAAGATTAACAAATGAGTCATTATGAAGTGAGAAGTGAGTTCTGAGCTTTTCGAATACTGTGACCTTAGTAAACTTAACACATTTGGTTCCTTTGGTCTTCTTATGTGTTTGAACTATTTTGAAGTGTTTTTAGGGGTGCAACTAAATGCATATTCGACATCATTTAGATTTAAAAGCTTGTGAATCTTTTGTTTGTCAAAACAACTCATAAATGCCCAGAAATGTGATCTAGAACTCATCTTTGTATTCGTGCAGTTTATTTGCCTAGGCAGGTATATAAAACATTTGTAGATGCAACGTAAGTTAAAAGGAGATATACTATTACAATTCTGGCTATCTCAGTTAGCATTTGGCATGATGCATAAAGACTGTGTTAGGAAAGGGAGAGATAATTTCTAGTGAATTATTATTTCGGCAAGGTGTGGAAAGATAAGTTTCCTCGCAAACGTATAGTAATTCATTCTATTCACTACTTTTTTCTCTAAGCATATTGAAAAAGCTTTTGTCGACAACCACAGTCATAGACAGGTTGTTCGACGGTGGCTGCCTTATTTCAAAGAAAAGATACTCAGTACGTATGGTTGAAATGCGTCTTGTTTGACTCCCCATAGCTCATAGAACAAAACCCACTGAAACTATGATCAAGATTTGATATAACAGCATCGTAAATATTGGGCGTTGATTGAAAGGTTCACATTATACATAACTTATGTTAGAGTGAGTCACAGCGATTTTGATATAAAATAGTTCCAAATTTGCGTACGAAAGTCTGGTTCAAGCTTTTTAAGCTAAATAATCAAACGTGAAAACTTTAAAATTAAGGGAATTTGAAGACGTGTACACAATCTCCTTGTCCAATTCTATTCCTATAGTCATTGTTTTTCTAGAATAATTGGTTAAGTAGGAAGGTAAAATTCCAATACATATCAATAAGGCTTGTTAAAAGTACTAAACATTGCTGGTTCACTTCGTCTGATATGTTATTACTTATTTCAGTATTTCCTACAAGTAGTCGAATTCCACAACTTGCTGTGGTATGTGCTCGCTAGTGCGACTCAGTTTGAGTCAATGTCTTAGTATTAAGAAACTTTCAATTACCACTTATCGTGGAACTCATATATGTTGAGTAAAGTACTGGTGATAGACATTTTTGAGTTGGCAAAGAAAAAGATTTAACACTCCAGTCTCTCTGTTTCTCTAGACGATATTCTTGCTAACCTATATGTTACTTTGTTATTCAGTATTTATCGGTTGTTGAAAAAGATTTACAAGCATTCTTCCAACACCAGTTTGAGAGTAAACTAATGATTTCTCAGTAACATGAGCCAGAATATGTGGGTGGTGTCAAGTGCAATCGATTTCGCTGTTAATACTATTGTAAAAGAAAAAAAAATGGGTATCAATATCTGCATACCTCAACCTAAAACATGATATAATACAGTGTACAAAAATCAACTATTTCAAAGTGAGACAAAGTTTATTGTTTACGTGAATCAAAACGATAATGTAAGAGTTTTTGTATGTCATACGTGGGCAGCATTGTTGATCAGGTGATAATGTGAAATACGAAAATCTAAAGATCAATCACTAAATTAGGTATTTTCTAGTTCGTAATCATAAGTTACGAGTAACGAATAATCCTTCATATGCAAAATTACTTTGGCAATGAAGAAATTTGTTAGTACGATAAAAATATTGAAAAGACATGTCACAAAGTTGTCATATAGAGAAGTTTATGACAGGAATAAATTCTTACTAAACAGCAATAAAAAAATTCAATCCCAGGGCTGCGATCTATTCGGAATATACAGTATCAAGATCTTGAAAAGTAGAGTAAACATTAATTGCCTACCAAGTATTAAAATTGGGAAGTCAAAGCGACTCCTTGACTCAAAATTGTAATAACAACGCATTCAGCTAAACGTAGACACAGGAATTTATCTTACATACTTTCATTTAAAAATCCTGCTGGGATTTCATCTTCACCCAGAAGCTTCCTGAGAACTTTTTGAACTCTAAAACTAGGGCTACAGAGTTTTCGAAAGTAAAAAACACGATTAGAATCCTGCTGTCATTTTTTAATACATGCCAATGAATGTGAGTAAGTCATTCCAAATAGGCTTTCCTTCGATTTATCATCCTATTCAGTTGTCTTGCTGAAGCGAATGAAACCATTAGAAATGATACAGATGCTAAACTTCTTGTTTCCCATAGAGTTTAGTGGACATGTACTCGCATTCTTCAGTATTCATTATTTGTGAAGAAATAAAATTGTTTTGCTGGGAAGAATGCGAATTCTACCATCCAATCTTTCCTGTGCTTTACAGGCTAAATGTGAATTATGTTGAATTTAGTTCTTAAGTAGTTTAGATTAAACATAACTGACTTTGAGTTCCACCAAGGTAATGAAACTGATCTTTGGTAGTGTTGAATATGTACAAAATTTGGCTACTATAGTTGCTAATTCATGGCACTTCCAAAAATAGCACGACATACTGATGTGTGCTTGTAATAATTGTAAAATAACCTTGAGGTTCCACGCTTGGCGGTTGCTTAATTCGCTGGAAATTAAAGACGGTGAGACAACGGAAAAACGTTACAAGTTCAGTAGTACTTTGAAATTCCATGGTATAGATCTATGTGAATAGATACAGTTTCCTAGTTTGTTTCCAGTATATCAAGAAGGGTATTCTGAGTTGATTAAATCCCTTTAGGCTATACAGTGATTGCATGTCTAATTAAGTGTTTTTCTAGAAACATCGGAACATTTTTATTGGTTGTGACGAATCTTGAGGACTACTGATCTCTTTGAAATATTGCATCGTATAAGTTTAAAAAATAGACTGAGTTTCAATCCATCCAAGTTTCCAAACA